TAGAATATGCCTGCCAGACATTTCATAGCAATTTGCCAGAGTATTTGTCTAATCAAATTGAAAGAATACAGAAACGAGCTCTTCGCATGCTCTACCCAGAGGAACGTTATGGTGACGCGTTAAAATTAACAGGCCTACAATCCTTGGCGGATTGAAGAGACAGACTATGCAGAGAACTTTTTAACTCAGTATCGATTAACAATAACCATAAATTAGCGGATTTACTACCACCACTAAATTCAAATAATATAAATCTTAGGTCCACTTCAAAATATATGACTTGCCGGTTTTGAAGACGAATCGTTTTAAAGACAGTTTTATTAACCATTACGCTTCAAAAGTTCAACGATAAGACCCTAATAAATATTTATAGTAGATATTTTTAATATAATTCATATTCTTAATATAATTCATACATATCGATATTCGATATTCTAATGTAAGTTTTAGTATTGCATGCATAATAGTTAGTAGAAGTAGGATTTAAATTACTTTGTAATTGACACGTAATTCAGTCCCCGGACTGCGATGTGTAAATTTTAATAAACTTTTCCTCTCTCTCTCTATATATGATCAAATTACGCATTATTACCAACAAATTAGGCTATAAACATAGCTTTCGCCGAATATAACTTCGGCCCCCTGACAGGACCTGAGACGTATGCTCATTGTGATATTCTTGATGAATTAAGCATATAAAATACCATGTACTGTATAGAGTTATTTTCAAGTATATCTATCTTTAAAGTGTGACTTTTAGTGCTGAATGTTACATTTCTGGTCCGAAGTTGCGATAATCCCAACCAGAAATACGACTTAAAAATGTCAAAACAATGCGACGTTTGTATAGTATGACTCTGCAAATGCCAGAAATGGATTCTACAGGTCAAAGTGCACTTATACGCGTGAGTTTGACGTCATCCCGGCTAAATGAGTTCCTTATTGGTCAAGTATTTCGCAATACACGCGCGTGCGAGAAAAACCGATATTTTAAAAAATTCAAAATCAATATTTCTACTCGCCGTATTCATGAAAGCGCTTGGATACAAAGAGTATTTTACTCATATAGCCTTTTAGAAAATGACGAAAAGTTTACAAGATATTCAACTTTTTCTCTTTTTCCCGTTTGAATGTTTGGCCAAGCGGTGAGTATAAATATATGATTGTTTCGGTTTGTGTAATGTTTTGACAGCACTTGTATTTTGTGAGGATTTCAATGGTGGGTTTTGTTTTAAAGGGGAGGAGGGGTAAATACTCGCCAAGATATTTACATTAGAAAAATTGAATCGTAATGTAATGCGAAAACACTTGTTGAGAAGGAAATCTTTCTTCAAATCTTATAAGATGCTTCGTTTTATTGTCTGCCTATTCCTATATTATTATCTAAGCTATTAGTATATATAAACTTGCACTTTTCAGTTATGTACATATACAGCTATTTCAATTAAAGTTGTTTCCCGAGCAAAGCGGAAAAGTCGAATACGAGCGCTTAAGGCTGCTGGTAATCGCTGATAAATTAATGAAATTATTAGCGATTCCCAGCAGCCTTTCGCGCTCGTATTCGACTTTTCCACTTTGCTCGGGGAACAACCTTAACTGAAATAACTGTCTAATAATTATTGCACACAATGCATGCACATTTAATAGGTCCACCACCACATTGCATACTTATAAAAAGACAACCATCTCATCAGCACCCTGAATAAAGGGTTAATTGGCCTTTATTACACAACCAGAGGTGATCTTAAGTCGAAATGCGGCTCCTTATATACTTGGGGTATTACTTCATCGTGTAACATGCATGCAGTTATAATTAATGTACATTGCGCAATGACAAATTGATTAAATTTTGGCTAAATGTTGACGAGATGTACGTAGATGAGAAATTATTAAAAGTTTGTCTTACTTTGCGGCGCAGAATGAACTTACTCCTCAATTAGCCCATTTTATAATTCTTGCATGTTACATAACTTACTATTAGCATGACAAAATTACTGGATGCTGATTGGTTGAGAGGAGTACAATTATTTCATTAATTGTACTGCAGTACAATTAATGATTTTCCCCAAACAAACAAAATGGCGGAAAGTAACACAAATGTGAAATGAAATTGCCCTAGTGGAACTAGACGAAAATACGAGCAAAAGCACCAAATTTTGCTTTAACAAAAGAAAACTAAATGAAAATACGAACAAAAGCACCAAATTTTGGTTGAAAGTCTGGCAGGACTGGGTTTTGGAGAGAGAATATGATGTTGACATTAATGTTACGGCGGCTCGTCCAATTTTGGCAAAATTTCCAAACATCACTTCTACTATTAATCCCTAATTGTACTCGCCATCGCATGATTACCTATACTTATTATTAGCATGACAAAATTACTCGATGCTGATTGGTTGTGAGGAGTACAATTATTTCATTAGTCATACTGCAGTACAATTAATGATTTTCCCAAAACAAACAAAATGGCGAAAAGGTGATTTTGAAAGCAAATGTGATATGAAATTTCCCTTGAGGAACTAGATGAAAATACGAACAAAAGCACAAAATTTTGTATTAACAAAAGAATTAAATAAAAATACGAACAAAAGTACCAAATTTTGGTTGAAAATCTGGCAGGACTGGGCTTTGGCGAGAGAATATGATGTTGACGGACTCGCCCCGGCGGCTCGTCCAATTTTGGCAAAATTTCCAAACATCACTCGTACTATAATAGTTTTGTTTGTGGAAACACCACGTGAATTTATTACTGCAAAGCTTTCGATCTGTAAGCCCGGATTTTCATCAGTGCTAATAAGATGTGACTTGTTTAATTCACACTTGTTTTATTAGAACTGATGAAAATCCGGGCTTACGGATCGAAAGCTTTGCAGTAATAAATTTACGTGGTATTTCCACAAACAAAGCTATAAAATGTTTTATCGCCATGCAAACATACAAGGAACTTATCACTCGTACTAATAATCCCTAATTGTACTCGCCATCGCATGATTACCTATACTTATTTCGCTGACGGAGGTATACGGAGAGTCCTCTATTTAGTGATTATAATTTATAATTTATAATTTAACTTCAGCCGTCAACAGAAATATACATGTACAAACAGGAAGATGGTTCAGGAACACTAACACAGCGTGAGCCAATTACGTTAGTGACCTGTTACAAAACATCATTATACAAAATTTCACAACTTATAATTTAAATATCAAACAAGAATATAGTATAATCCTTTTTATCCGAAATAGAGAGAGAGCGTAAAAATTTCGAAATTTGGGAAAACAAAATGACAAAATTGTCAAACAGAATAAATGCGAGAATATATATATAGGTTCTGTATCCGTCGATAACAACCCAATTTGAAAAATTGAGCTTCTAACATTATAGTAATAATATACAAAAGTCGTTTTAGAAACACACTGTGTTACCATATTTATTATTTTGTATAGCACCATACCTAATATAACGTTTTTCTCTGTTGAAGCTCAAGATGGAGACACAGTTCAATTAAAAATTATTGGAGAAACAGGAAATTGCGACGGAGCAGAAGCGCGCATCAGACATTGCATAGTAAGCTTTTTTTTGTAGCTATAATGATAAGGTTTAAATTTTTATTTTTAACATATAATCAAGCAGAGATATGAACTTGCTCTAAATTTACAATTTAAGACTGTCCATAAAGAGGTATTGCTGAGAAATAAACTTGGAGGCGACACGCATTTTGTTTGCTTCGCTTATCAAGATGAGAATGAAAGGTTTTGTTTAAAACCGGGTGGAATTGCTCCTAAATTGGATGGCTTCATTCAAGGGCAAAGATATAGAATCGAGATTAACGATGATGACTATCATGGTCAGGTACCGTAAATGTAAAACAAAATCTTACAGCTACTTTCTCTGTCACTATAAAATATACTGTATAAGCATTTCACTCTTCAAGCGTAGATGGGTACAACTCTCGTAGTTTTGAAGTAATTTTCGTCGGAGTAGTAATTTCAATTTAATAATGAAAGACATAATACTTACAATCTTAGAAATAGGGATACTGATTTAGCACCACCTATGCCGAAAAAGAATTCGGCAAGAGGTGCTTCAATTGTAATGGTGCCTTGCATTGAAATAATCTTTCAAATCGATATTAAGACAAAGAATGAGTTGAAATTTGCTTGTGTGTAATCGTGCAGCTAAAATCACTTGTATTTTTTTTGTTATATTTTGTATTTCTTGTAAATAGTTAATTTTTTGTAGATAGGTAATTTCACGCCCCTCATGGAAACCACCTTTCCAACGGCTGTTGAGGCTTGTGTGGTTTAAAGTTTTGTATTTATGTATATAAGTAATGTAGGAATTCATGTACTGCATAATTGTGAAACTAGCAAGTTTTCCAATTTATAACAATTAATTAAAGCTCAACGTTGAACGAGATTCATAAATGCGCGATACAATTAATTATAGCCACGCTAGTATTGTACATGTCTGTAGTATTTATTATACAAACAAATTGCACATTAGCCTGCTTGCGGCTCAAAATTGGGACTGAAATTCGACCAGTGTCATTGCTAATAAAATTATAGAAGCGCAATCGTATTTACACGAAAATAACTAATGCTCATTGATATGTTAAACATATTGTTCAATTTACTGGACGTCACGATTTTCCCAAAGTTGTACATTAATTACCTATAGTTAGGCCTATTTGGATTTAGAAAAAATATATATATATATATATATATATATATATATAAATATATATATATATATATATATATATATATATATATATATATATATATATATATATATATATATATATATATATATATATATATATATATATTAGATAATAATAATGTAGGCCTGTTATATATATTAGATAATAATAATGAAGGCCTGTTCCCAACAATCATCTGTTTGCCTAATTCACGTGGTACTAATCATCCTTCATGCATGCACCTCTGTCTTTAATGAATGTGACTACACAATAGCGAGTTAACCTCCTGTATATTTCAGAGTGAGATCAGTGAGAAAACTGTCTCGGAAATTAAAGACCATCTATTGACGCCATTACAAAATTTGCAAAAGTTGAGGGATGAGGGCCAATTGATGGCTGATTTGTGGTGTCATTTTGGAAAAGTCCTCGTTTCAAGCGTTGATGAAGGTAATAAAATATTTGAAGAGTATAATGTTATGAATGAAAGAGATTTCTCTTCTTAAATTTTTTGGTCATGTTAGTTAGACCAAAGATGACAACAGACCAGAAATTTTGTTTTTTTGTCAAGTTCTCTTGGCAAGTTTACTTTCTTGTGTGTACGCGGTCAACACGCTTTACGTGACAAATTCTCAATGAGAAGTTTTGTTGCTCGTGTGCATGGAATTTATTGTCAAAACCTTTATCTCACGTCAAGGCCGCCGCCTGTTGGAAATGGAACTGTACAAAAACATTAAAAGGATTTATTTCAGATATTGTACGAATTCTTTTGAAATGTGATCTTCTGGACTTTCTACCAGAGTATAATACTTTATCTGAACAATTTCCAAGCAAATCTGCGTGGACAATAACTGTCAAAAACAGATACTCGAGTACACTGCAACAATCTTTGGCAAGGAAAAATATGTGCATGGTCAACCAGTGGCGTAACGTTATATCAGGGGGCCCCCGGTTCAAAATTTTCGAAGGCCCCCCTAGTAGAAGTGCTAAAGTCACGAGTTGAGCGCCGTATATGCACAGGTTTTCTAGGGGGTCCAGTGCATGCTCATCCGGAAAATTTTTGAATCTAGACTCTCTGAAATGCCATTTCCTGGACTTTGGGGAGAGATTTTACAGAATTCTGTTGGTCAGAAAACGACATTGTAACATATCAGAGAGGCCCTGGCCAATGTTTTTGCTCTATCGCCTAAGCTTGGGGGCCCCCATTTCGGCCCATTGTGGTTGGGGCCCCCGGGTTCTCCCGGTCTGAGCCCATAGTAGTTACGCCACTGTGGTCAACTAAAGATTTATGCAGGTTATTAGCTAAAACAAATTCGGGTTATCTAAAACAAATTAATGATGTTTTAAGATTACTATATGTGGATCTTTCAAAATCAAAGGAAAACGTGTGAACAAACCAGAAACTTATTGAGACTGTTGTGATATTTGTAGTAGCAATTACTTGAATCCTGTAATGCATGCATTACATTGTATTAATATATAATCTTCGTTCACTGTACAAAATACACGCACGCCATTGGTCAAAATCGATCACGTGTGTTTTTGTTACCTGGCAACAACGAATTCTGCGAGTGCATTATTGACAATAACGCATAAAAAACGTGCATTATTGAAAATGGCTTGCATTATTGACAATAACGCATAAAAAACGTGCATTATTGAAAATGGCTTCCCGCAAGGCTGTCGGTTCAAGGTTTACACAAGTCAGTGAAGACGAAATTAATCAAATTGTACATAATGCAGTGTCTAAAAGTATAAAAAGCCAAACAAACTGGTGCATTGTCATCTTTCAAGGTAAATAAACGAAGCAAAAACTGACTTTTCACGATTTTGACGCGTGTAAAATTCCTGCTTAAAAAGTCTAGTCGGGTTTTTCATTGTATTCGTTGTCTTGTTTTAAAAACAGTTGTACGCAATTATATTGCAATGTACTTAAAATTAGACTATTGGTAAAAACTGATGATGAATTTGTGTTAATAAATGTACTTTTCCAAACTGCAATTGCTTTGTTTTAATTTAATTTAATTTTGTTTTGTTTTGTTTTGTTTACAAAAGGCGTACAGTATAATTGCATGCAAGCAGTGAACTCAGATAATATATTAAATGGGTTAGAGACTTTAAGTTCGTGTTTTGTTTACAAATACATGCACTTGCTGACTGTACAATGAACTCGAAATTTTCAATACTGCACTCGGCTTCGCCTCGTTCAGTATTGAAAATTTCTCGTTCATTGTACAGTCAGCTCGTGCATGTATTTGTAAACAAAACACTCACATCAGTCTCTAACCCTTAAATAACACAAGCCAGTCAATTAGAGAGCGGAACTATGGGAATGGATAAACGATATTGTGCCAATTGAAATGACAGTACATCTAGCAAGTTTAACAGACATGGAATTTCTTTTAGTTATATTATAAGTAAAAGGTCAGAGGTATTATGTGCAAACTATAGACACATGAACGCAGTTATTACCAAGATTTGCAAACTATGTTTCCTTTTGTTATACAGGGTGTCCCCAAAAAAGTGACACTATAGAAAATATTATACCTCAAATTCAAATTGTCCAATCAGGAAACTTAGTTTGTGCCACGTGAGCATGAAATTAATCGCGATATCACGCCTTACGTCATCAATTAGCGAGCCTGCGTTCCTTTTGACAATGTTCCACCCCATGTTCCCCGGGGAACATGGGGTGGAACATTATTCGCGTAGACCACGCGAGACAACACGCATGACAACAACATGGCCGACAAAATATAAATACTATTAATGAGTGATGAATAATTCAATTTTAAACGTAAAACCTGGGGCTTTTTCAAAATTTTGAAGCAAACTTTGAAAAATGTTGTCATTAATATTCCAAACGATATGTGACTCGAAAGAAAAGCGACGATACTTAATCCGAAAATAAAACATCGTATTCACGAAGCCGAAGGCGAAGGTATGTGTCAAGTTTTTAATTCTCGACTTGGAGGCTTTTAATTTTCGGTATAATATATCATTTATAGACCCTCCGCTCGGGGGATTCGGGGAAATATTACCCTCAGGGATGATATTTCCAAATATCATCACTTCGGGTAATATTTCCCCGAATCCTCCTCGCTCCAGGTCTATAAATGATAATTATCCTATTGTTATAATTTGAATACCCTAGCATTAAGTTGATCCCACAGGTGCATAAACTTCTGCTTCTGGAATTTAAAATAAAAAAGCAAACCGTTTATTAGTGTAATCGTTTTGCTTGACTCGGGCGTTAAAATATTTGGACAAAGCGAAAACGTTTTAAAATGCTTAAATGTAAATACAAGTTCATTAAATTCCCAGGCGCGCGTGTAATCATGAGCGTTTAAGAGCGGCTTACAAACTACGAGATAATTTCTATAGTGTCACTTTTTTTGGACACCCTGTAGAGTACGATTTGTCAACTTAGCTAGTTAGGTAATTGATAGCGTTTCGTTATCTTTATAAGTAAAAGGTCAGAAGTATTATGTTTAAACATAGACATATGGACGCAGTTATTTCAAAAATTTGCAAACTATGTTTCCTTTTGTTATAGGAGTACAATTTTGTTAACTTAGCTAGTTAGGTAATTTATAGCCTTTAACTCGTCATGTTTATTTTATTTATTAGCCCAGCAAAATGTGTATTCATGCACTTAAAAATGCATTAAACGCTTGAAAATACGTATAAAGTTCGTCTCAATTTGCTATCAAGCGATTTATTTGTGTAGCTCATTATACATGCAAATTCCGATGCTTACGTCATTGTATTTTCATATAGTATATTATCCTAAGGCTGGCAACTCTTTTCCAAGAGGGTGGGTTTTATCGAAATTATTTTTGCCGATAGGCGGGATGCAAAGTGCACGACAAACGTCATCTTCGGAAAAATCATCGGCTTGTTGCTTATTGGCTGCTGAAAATCGGCAAACTCCCCGGAATATAAGATACTGCAGTCAATGAACTTCCTTCGGAATTTGCCGATTTTTAACAGCCAATAACCAACAAGACGATGATTTTTCCGATGATGACATTTGTCGTCCATTTTACATCCCGCCTATATCGACAAAAATAATTTCGATAAAACCCACTTTTCATCCATGAAATTCAAATACTTCTAAACTTTTTTCAAGTCTAAAAAGTTAAAAAAATAAAGTTAGAAAAAATATCCAAGGTGTTTTGTATCAATTTTTTTCAGAAAGTAGCGGTTTTTGTTGTTGTTTGAAGCGAACGTAATAGTGTGTGTGTGAATGAATTTTCTGTGTTGGTGTTATGTACTCAGGTGAATATATGATGTTTGTGATGTTACTCTATGTGTATATGCACAACGGGCAAGCTTGAAAAATATGCCTGACCACGGTGGAAATCGAACCTACCACCTTTGGAATACTAGCCCGCGTAACTCAGTGGGCAGGGCATTGGGCTATAGTATTCCAAAGGTCGTAAGTTCGATTCCCACCAACATTGCCAGGTGTGGATATACACTCGGAGTAGCATCACAAACATCATGTGTGTGTGAATGTTTTTGTAAAAGAGTTCCCAGCCTTAGGATATTAGACTAAATGAAAATACAATGACGTAAACATCGGAATTTGCATTTATAATGAGTTACACAAATAAAGCGCTTGATAGCAAATTGAGACGAACTTCATTCGTATTTTTAAGCGTTTAAGGCAATTTTAAGTGCATACACATTTTGCTAGGCTGCCTATGAGGTAACTATACTCTTCAGAAATTGAAGGCAATAAAATTTAAAGCTAGCTTTAGGTTAGGTCCTGTATAGAATTGTTTATGCGTTTCATCTAACACGGGCAATCTCAACTGTTTTAGGGTAAAATGACCATGTCGGTCAACATGGCATATATGTGCCAAAACCTGAATACGGGACAAAAGTCCTTTTTATCTCCGAGTCTCGCAAGTATCGTCCAATTGTTGTCTTTTACACAACTTTACTGTAGAATAGTCTCAATGCAAAAATTGAAAACATTAGTTGCACTTAAAAAGAAAAAACCAAAAACACATTTAGGATCAGAACCAAAAACAAAATTTTTAAAAAAAATTTGAACGTCACGCGCAATCTTCGCGAAAACTAGTTGTGTGCTACTCGACAAGGGGGGGGGGGGGCAAAACTTTTCAAATATTCACGAAACGTTTGTTCGTTTTTGGTGATCAAAATACGCAAATATTTATGGTTTTTATCATAAATTATCAAGATGTACAAATTCGAAAAAAAATTGAATGTCTTCGTGTGCATTATTTTAACCAACTTTTTTGAGTGCCTGGTTTTATGACAGTGTAGCCAGTAAATTACATGTTATGTATACATAAATATGTACCATTTTATGCCATGAATTCTTGCGAAAGTTAAGAAAATTGATGCATACGATACTCAAATTTATGCTGAACGAAATTATTGGTTTGAATTTTTTCAAAAGGCCGGTATAATCACCTGCTTGTGTGACCTTACGCCCGTATCTAGTTCGTTTTGTCTTTTCTGTGTTTAAAAAGATGACATATATAGAAATATATTCAAACTGAACTCAAATTACGTTTTCCCTAGGTCGCAGTGATTATGCTATCAAAATATTTTCCTGTATCTTTTTAATGTCTATCAAAATGTCTTTCATGTTTTTGTTATAAATTGAAATATTGCTTTATTATAGAGGAAACCATAAATATCATGAGGCCGGTTGATATTGATCGTCGACTAGTAAAGCTAATCAGTAAAGATACATTTAAGAATAAAGACAAGGATGCTTATTGGAAGGTATCATTTGAAGAAGGCGTAGTTTCATCAGACGTTAATGACGATGCACTTCCATAGCTTGGGAATGTCGACCACGATTTTTTTGGTCTTAAGCTAGATCACACACAGTGGCGTTACGATTTTGCTTTTGTTACTCCATCAGGTATATTTATTAGTATATTATAAAGCCCAATTGTTATAACTATCTGTGCTAAAAAATACTCTTGTTGCTACGGATTCTATTTTGCTTAATATTATACCTCAAATTCAAATTGTCCAATCAGGAAGCTTAGTTTGTGCCACGTGAGCATGGCATTTATTGCGATATCACGCCTTACGTCATCAATTAGCGAGCCTGCGTTCCTTTTGACAATGTTCCACCTCGTGTTCCCCGGGGAACATTGGGTGGAACATTATTCGCGTAGACCACTCGAGACAACACGCATGACGACAACATGGCCGATATAATATAAATAGTATTGATGAGTGATGAATAATTTGGTTAAATGATGTAAAGCCTGGGGCTTTTTCAAAATTTTGAAGCAAATTTTGAAAAATGTTGTCATTATAAATATTCCAAACGATATGCGATTCAAAAGAAAAGCGACGATACTTGCATTAATCCGAAAATAAAATATCGTATTCACGAAGGTATGTGTCAAGTTTTTAATTCTCAACTTGGAGTCTTTTAATTTTCGGTATAATATATCATTTATATAGACACTCCGCTCGGGGGATTCGGCGAAATATTACCCTCAGCCTTGATATTTCCCTCTGGGCAAAGCCCCTCGAGAAATATCATCACATCGGGTAATATTTCGCAGAACCCCTCTCGCTCCAGGTCTACAAATGAGAATAGTACACGGTAATATCAAACGGGGATATTTATTACATTTCTGTTTTGTGGGAAATTACCTGCATGTAACAGTTTTAGGGACCTTTTTTGCCACGAATTTCTGCCCACATTTTTTATTTCATTTGCACTTTTTGAACATGAGGTTTGAACATGAGGTTTTATTTTAAGAAAATGAAAGTAGAACTTTGGTTGTTTTCAGGTGCCTGACTTTTACAGTAGAATAGACATGATGAATGCACGTAAAATTATTCGAAAAAGTGCCATCCGATATACGTCTGACCTGTCGAGGAAATAGTCGCGAACATTACGAAAATGAGTCTTGAAGAACAAGGGCAGATTTGGTGATCGCCAGTCAGCGCATTTGTTTATATTTTCGCTCTCAGCCAATCATAATGCAAGAAACGCGAAATTTACACCAAGGCGAACTAGAAAATATTGCCGTCTTGTCGGGCTTCCGTGACATTCAATTTTATTTTTTTAATTTAAAACCAAAAGATTACGATAAAGCAAAGTAAAATCTAAAACTTTTCGGTGGGCATTTTTAAATTTCGACCTAGAACGGAAAATATCCATGTTTGAAATTTTTCCTTATGTTGCGTATACAAATTTGAGTAATCTAATTTGACAGCAATAAAACTGAAAATAGGCACGCAGTACGTACATGTTGCAAGCCATTGGTCAGTCACAGCAGGTGCATGAGGTTAACTATAAACTTGTTAAAAGTGCTAGTGTTTGTTGGCATAATTTGTATGCCCTTTTCACCTCTGTGACCCAAGATTGTTACTGCAACATTCAGGGTGTGGACTTTCTTATCATTATTTTGGCCCGAATGCACAAGGGCTCCCAATTTGCCTCTACAAGAAACTGATTAGTTTTATTGGGTCCATGGTACTACTCTAAAATAGAGAGTGATAGCGCAGGATTCGCTATGCGTCAAGTAGAAAAATAATAGTGGCATAGCTAATGTTGAATGTTTGGGGCAAGCATTGAGTGGCAAGGTCACAAAAAATGTTGAATTTCTAGAGCTCAGAAATGCCATTTTCCACATTCTGATACAAATTTTTAAAAGTAATTTCAAGGTCGTAAGATACAGTTATAGTGACCAAGGACACCGGAACTGGGGGGGGGTGTGCAGAAGGGGCTGCTGCCCCTGTTGCCTTTTGCTAGGAGGGGCAAGGGGCAGAAGTGCCCCTTGAGTTATGAAATACTACATAATAAATCACATATCCAGTTATGCTTTTTAGGCAAAATCATGAGGTGTGATCTTGAATGTGACCTGAATAAGTGTGTTTGCTTTCATTGGCAAGTCAACACATAATTGTAGGTTTATATCTTCAACGGGGTCTATAGAGGTGCCCTTTGGTGTGCGTTGCCCCCCCCCCCCCTCCTTGACATTTTATCGTCCCGGCGTCCCTGATTGCTACATTGGAACAAGGCACAGTACACATGAAAATATATTTAGATTTATTGATCATATTGATTATCAACTGAAACATTTCATAACATTTTTTCACCTATTGTCATCATCACACATTTGCTATCTAAATTTAAACTAACTCCATTTTTCTGGAAGCAATATTTACAAATGTTTGTACAAGTTTTTCTAGAATTAATTACTATTAATTGGTTTCGACTCATTGCTTACTTCACCTGAGAGTAGACGATGGAACAAACTTGAAATCCGCATGCATAATATTTCTGAGTGTGGATTAAGTATACAGACTGTACTACCACTTACTTGTATCGACTTGGTATTAAATAGAAACAAAATGTACATACAGATTTACATTACATTCGCTTGATTGATACAGCAAACAAAAGTGAACATTCTTCATGATTTGTGGCGTAACATTGTCCCACAAATCAAGACCAAAAAGAGCAAAAATTAAAACACGCGAAGTTGTCACTCCCTGTCGAAGCCATTTTCAAAATAAACAATCGTCATATGGTCGGAATCGTTCGGAATGCAATCGTAAGTGTCACGTGAAAAATCCGGACAGGACAGGACAGGACAGACAGGACAGAATTGAGTTATATGATAATTGCAAGCCATTTAATGGCTTGTAACAAAAATTGCTATATTTTCTCTGCTTTTTGTTTTTGTTGGAAAACTCTTTTCCACTCTTGTTGAAAATCGTTTTGGTCAATGTGTTATTTCATAACCTAGAAGATAACGCGTTTAGAGAGACTGATTTTCTGCAAAACCGGTCGGACAATATTTTTGTATTGATTAATTCCCGTATGATCGCGAGCATGCGACTATATATTTTTTAAATCAGTCGCTATAAACGCGTTATCGTCTAGTTTTTGAAATAAAACATTGACCAAAACAATTTGCAACAAGAGCGAAAAAAAGTTTTCCAACAAAAACTTAAGAGCAGAGAAAATATAGCAATGTTTAGTATACGCGTCATAGGGAAAAATTTCAAACATGAATATTTTCGGATCCGTTCTAGGTCGAAATTTAGAAATGCCAACGGCAAAGTTTTATATTTTTATGTGCTTTATCGTAATCTTTTGGTTCTAAATTAAAAAAGTTAATATTGAATGTCACGGAAGACCTAGAAGCCGGCAATATTTTCTAGTTCGTCTTGATGTAAATTTCGCGTTTTCTGCATTACGATTGGCTGAGAGCGAAAACGTAAACAAATGCGCTGATTGGTCGAGAACCAAATCTGCCCTTGTTGACTTGAAGCAGTCATGCAGTTAATAATCATTCTCGGAAAAATTTACCATAGTTACTTTTTTATTTTATATTCATTTATTCCTGTTTCTAGACAGAAGCGTACGGGTAAAAGTATGGGAAGGTTTACCTCCTGGTAGGGACGAACCTCCAGTTGAGGTAAAGAATATTTTAAGACAAGTTTCCCTCCAGGCAGAAGAAGGCATAAAAGCTTGGATTTGTTATCCTTCCACATCTTGTCTGAGAGGGGAAATAATGACACCGAATTCATCGTATGATTGCAGAATCAAATTGCGAGCAGGTATGTTTATTTAAGGATAAATGTTTACTAAATGTGCATGAGTTGAAATTATGTTCACTTATTTACATAATTACTGGTGGACAGTTTAAAACGCCCGTGTCAAACGTCAAAATGTTCACTTGCAGTGAATGAACTTAGCTTTTCAAGTGCTGTAAGCTGCAGTAAATTAACAAATGAATTATTTTCCTTGCTCACGAGTCCAAGAAGTTAGTACGAAACGTCGGGATACTGAGAATTATTTACCGACGAATAGTTCCTTTATCTCTTTCTTCGTTAAGTTATAACATCCTTACAAAACCTTTTTATTATAGCCTAGCGTAGCCATTCTCTGAGGGGTCTGGCTGCATTTTGATACAACTTACACTTGTAATTATTTTTCACAACTCGTATACATACTCGTATTTTGATTTGAACAATTTTTAGATTCCATAACCTCACTTTTTTACGCGATATTCAGGTTCACTTTTAAACAAGGATTTTGTATTTATATTTTATTGCGTAGGCCTACATAATTTTGCCAATACACGATCGTATTTAACACTATAATATTCACGAGCCACAACTGATTTAGGGACATCATATCCTGAATTACATTGCAGATATGTATTACACTCCGTATAGTTCATCAGCTATATATGTCAAACCTCAAATCTTACAAAATTCCGACGTGTAAAATTCTTATAAAGTATAGGAAACTTTCTCTTTTCATAACGCATTATATCTTACGGCTCAAGAATAGCACGCCTGTTTGAATAAAATTTAAATATACACGCCTATTTTAGTCGACTAATATATAAATTAAGTTCGGCTCATGAATGGTACGGCGTTTAAATTGGGCCTTGCCATTTTGTAATTTTCTTCGATAAATTTCGGTAATTTTTTGTCTATAGGATTCGTTTTAATGTCTTAAATTTCTTGAAGAACGGTCGTAGTTTCTTTGTCTTCCAATTGTGTTCGACAGCAAGAACGTATTTGTGCACAAAGTCAGTTGACTGAAAATAAAGCTAGGTCTTCGTGCAAGCTCAATAAATATTCAGGCCATGACCATTTGCTAGAGTGATGGTTATAGTTTTTGATAAGTTTTAATTAATGTATGATTTTCAGACAAATAAAATTGTTGTGATTTATGCAGGTTACCGTTATGCCACCGACAAAGATAGCGTCATTTGCATGGAAGAAGACACAATTCTCTCGGATTATCTTTACAACTGCAAATTTAACAAGGCGTACCCTAGAATGGAATTGCCAGATCCAAATGAGCATGTAATGCCGGAAGGTTTTAAATGTACCTTTTACCGCGAATCGAACGAAAGAATGTTTTCCGCTACCGTTGGCGAAGAGAGTTATACTGTTATTGTTTTGGACGAAAAGGGGTGGGACTCAGACACATCAGCTAAAAGAGATCAGAAACAGGTTTGTATAATTTCAACTTCATAGTTAATTTTAATAATTAATGATAAAGTGATTTGATTTTGGCAAACCAGGCACATGGTTGTTGCAATTCAGTTCCACAACGATATACGCATTACATTCAAAATATTAGTTAGCGTAAAAATGTTTATACTACTGTATATGTACTATACATGTTCATTGCGTTTTGTTGAGTTCCATATATATACCGCTTCTATTTTCCTATAATTATGTAATATTCTGCAAGTACCGATGAAGTTATTACTTTTAATTAAATGAAACCGCCACTGAGGGAATTATAACAAGATCCAGAGGCTAAACACGAAACCTACAAGCGCCATTTGATATCATTCGATGTATTAATGTATATGCACTTGCTTAAGTGACAGTATTCGGCGCGTAAGTATGCTGTGAATTTACACGTCTGCTTCGTATTCTCAAATAATTTTTTTTTTGTTCACCTCACCCTGATCCCATTCTCTCATTGGGATTTTTGCTTACTGTATTTCGGGCTGTTCTGTCACATATAATGTGCTTGAATCGTTAACAATGTATAGATCAAAGTTAATGAGGCAATGCGTTCGCCGTCATAATCGGTTATAATTTCGTATAAAGCCAACAGGTTTGCCAGCAGCCACCAAATTAAAAAAAGCGAATGTTTAATCGATCAAAGTTCAAATATTTCCAGCCACGTGCAAACCAAGTGAAATGCTAATCAACCAATCATAGGTTAACATTGAACATGTAAATTTGCGCTACAGAAATGCTAATCGTAATGGTAACATGTATAAAACAAAGGTCGATTCAAACGGCTTTCACTTTGATAAATATCCAAATTGTACACCATGTCATGGTTAGAAAATTCCCACCCACCCACCCGCATGCTTTTACGTGTTGTGAGTGATTGGTCTGATGGATAATATACGTATTAATATGTATCCAAGAAGGACAAACAATTTCATTGGGCATTATCACGACTTGATTAGAACATTAATTAGAATGGAAGTCCAACATGGGGAACCACGACCCCCGAGGACATTAATTAGAATGGAAGTCCAGTGCTTTTGTAAGTACCTAAATACCTTTTATGTTGAAAATAAATTTTGGTACGCGCTAGAAGTGATCCCAATGGTCAACTTTAGGCCATATAGATTCAAGTTATTTATATAATCAGTCGAATCGTACGGACTGTCCATGGGGGATACAATCCCTGGTTCAGGTTAGGGGGGTCGCTACCCTTTTGCAACCAGAGTTTTAGATTATAATGTTATAATTGGTTCATTTCACCCTGATTCTATTCTCCCACAATAATTTAGTGTATGTTCAATTCATTTTCTGGGTGTTTTTTTTTCCACATAAATCTGGCTTGTATCATTAAGTTATGTTGACGGACAAATACAAAGTTTAAATATAATTTGAGAAACCACCAAATAAATGGTTCATTCCCAGCTGCAAAAATAAAAATGTTTACTTACTTGTGACAACATGTACCCAAGTTGATATGTTGGTCTTTTTGGAGTTTGAAGAAAAATCTTCGTTCAAGGCAACAAATTTATTGTGTGACGTCATTTCAATAGCATCAAGGATAACTTACAGAAGGAGTTTGATAGCCATTGACTCCCAATCGTGTAAATAGTTACGAAGCTTTAAATAGTTTTATCCACGTCTTAATCTTTTTAAATTGAAAAATTATTGCTGCTGGAAGTGCTAGACCCAGGCCTAAATTACATCGCACATGTTCAACTCATGAGCTGGCGTCATTCACTTCCCAATTTCCATTATTATAGACTCCTAACTCGCTTAACTCTTCTAGGGCCAATTTTGACTTGAGTGATGACTAATGTCAAGTATATTATATATACATGCATTGCAACGATCATAATTGAGATCATTGATTTTATTGGTACCATGTACTATGTCGAACCTTGAAATGTGAACCTTGGCATTAATCCAAATACTGGCTGAAGTCACGCAGTCTATGTCCTCAGTAATTAACCCTCAAATTTCCCACTTCTTTTCTCCTTGGCAAGGAATTCTGCCTTGAGATATATTCAGCTTCGGACGCTAATTTATCCTCGGTATGCATGGGCACTGGCTACTACATTTTACTTGCGTTTCCAAATCAAAGAATACAGTATAATATATTTATTTAGCAAACACATTTTGTCCTCTTCGTTATCGCTACCTATATGTTCTCAGCATTTGTGATTACACACAGTAGCGTAGCCAGCCCGACGATTTAGTACCGTTATGCAAATATTTTCGTGTTCATTGACTGTGAAAACAATTTCTAAAGAAATGAATAATGATAATGATTTGGAATTTGCATAGCGGGACTAAATTGCCGGGCTGGCTACCCTACTGATTGCACACAGGATCTTGCAAACCCATAGATATTATATTTTAAATGATCAAAATAACAAAACAATGTAGTGACATTTGACTAATCATCTGCTTGTTTTGAATGCACAAGCTAGGCAATTTAGGCCCGTTTTCTACGTCGAATTTTGGTCGCGTGACTCCCGTCGAATGCAATTAAGACACTAGCTAATGACATGATAAACCTCATTAAGCCTCATTATGATCTATTGTCAGTGGCGGAAATTTTGGTGGGGCAGGGGGGGTGGCGGCCGCCCCCTCCCCACCTTCACGGAAAATTGACGAATTTTCGGAAATTTTGACCGAAAAGAGGGCTAAAAACAGTCTTTTCGAGTGCAAAAGGGGGGGGGGGTATGTCGGAAATTTGAGAGTTTTATCGGAAATTTAGGATGCTTTGCCCCCCACCGGAAAAAGTGAATTTCCGCCACTGTCTACTTTTGAATTGCATTCGACGCGACCGAAATTCGACGTATAAAACCGACCTAAGTCGACAGGTGAAATAGAAATCGCATACATGCAGTACGCCTGTAAAATATTGCATTAAATTTAGAACCAGAGCATATTGTAAAAGTAGATTGATTAAGAAACCAATTTGAATTGGTTGTCTCAGCTTGACTTATTTGATCAATATTTTATTGGTTAAAACAACCAAAAAGGGTTATTTTAACAATTTGTTCGGTTATGTTGACAAAATACTTGCAAATTTGGCAGGCAGAAACTCTGCGTCTCAGTATTTTATCATTTGAATGCACACGTCATTAGTTCGCAATACTTCAATCTACTTAAAGCGGGTTTTCGTTAGGCGGAAATATGGTCGCGGAGCGGAATTTTTCTTTGTCTTGTGATTCCTCACGTGTAACTAATTAGAAAAGACAAAGAAAAATTCCGCTCCACGCGCAAAATTCCGCCTATAATAAAAACCGGCTTAAAGCCTGTTTTCCACTAGCGAATTTAAAGCGAATTTTCTATTGTTTAAATTGAAAAGAATTGATTAAAAATATAATTAGTTTCAGTCGAGAGCTCATAATACAAAAGATTCGCGCGAACAAATTCGCTAGTGGAAAACAGACTTTAGCCATCACAAGATCCGTAAAGTATTACTAAGATAGATAAACGTAAGTGTTTTTCACGTACTTGCTTATTCGTACCTAATTTTGCGATTTTGATACGCGTAAATACTAAATAGAAAAATTAGCATTGAATTTCGCGAAAGCTTTTGAAACCACATTTTATTTTCTATAAAAATCTGAGCTACAATTTTCGAAACAAGTCAACATAAGGTACTTTATGTGGATATACGGCCTGTAATTGTTGTTCATATTTATCAACAATTTTATGATACAAATTTTTGACAAGGGTATTTAATTTCGCAATAAATCGCGAAAACAGCGAATTATAAATTAAAGTCGTGCGAAATTAAGTACGAATAAGGGCTTCTGGTACTTTATTTGAATAAGAAAATGAGATTTCTTTGTTTTAGTTTGGTATAAGGGTTGTAAAGGACTCGTGGTCTGAGGCCCTACTTTCACCTGAACGATACTGGACGCCAGAGGAAATACTTGACCAGCTGAAGGACTATCTGGAGTTTTTGTCTTTTTTTAAAGACTGCTTTCTCGATGCCGAAGGCTAGTCCCAAGCTGCCAGCACTCAGCAGGGAAAACGATTTACATTGTAAAATAAAGAAATTCCATAAATTATTGCGATAATTTTTATTATTTAAAAATATTTAAAAACGGTAGTCCTTCAGGGCACATAGGCACCTGCTTCTCAAGGAGCCATTTACATACTCAATTACAATTATCTGCACACAACACAATTTAAAAATCTATATCAAAAATCATTCACGTGCACTTATATTTACAATATATACAATAATATAGAAAAAAGAATTTCAAATGAGGTCAAGAATTGCTTTAAATTGATAAACGCTTACAGGCTTCTTTCAAAAAGTTTTTCGATTTGCTAAGTACGCAATGATTTCCATTGCTTCTTAAATCTATCTTTGGTTATTTTTTACGCTAAACATTTCACAGAACTATCTGGACAATGACACAATGCTAATGCCCTCCTCAGGGGTATTTTAGGTTTTCGGACCTGGGTGAGAGCTCCCAAATTTTCAGAGGTTTTTTATTTGCAGGGGGGGGGGCTGCGGGTGATTCCCCCTCCTACGGTCACACACCCAGACGTCATTTCCTATGCTGACTCATTTCCCAGTGAGGGAATATAAATGATGTCTGGGTTCACCAACTACACCTCCAAGTGATTTACCCATTTTTATACTCAAGGTTATTATGCCTTATCGCTCGCCGGTTTAATATTAATAATTATATTTATATTCCATTTTGGAGGAAAATGGTCCCCCCAGAATTTAGCTATTTTCAGATTTGGAGGGAATTTCTCCCTCCCCCAGCAAAACTCCTTGCCCTCCTTGAAAAGTTTTAAGAACAAATTAAAGAAAGACATGTTAGCCAGACTTTATACTTAGTATTGGACTACTTTTAATAATAGAAAATTTTATACTAGTAAATTCTTACCTATGTAATAATTTCAGTTAATCTCGATTTTATAATAACTGTCTTCATTCCATGTAAATTAGTGCGGAAAAGCCTCATTGAGGAACACAATAAAATATTTAATTATATATCGATTCTGGTACTGCATTATTGTGTGCTCTGTGCGTAAAAGTTGCTTTTTTACTTTTGAAACGATGTTTTGTAAGAGGATGTCTCTCTAAGAACCGACCAATGATTCTCGGCTCAAAAAATGAAATTCTTCGTTACTTTCACAATGAAATGTATTTACCCCAAGAAAAACAAACACTATTTGGAATTTGGAATTCTTATTAATTTTAAAATTTCAGCGATTTTTCGGTCTCGCGCCGTCGTGCAGAAAATCCTCTGCCTACATCAGTCATAAAAATTAGCGGAATTCAAATACATATAATTTTAAAAGTATTCAACCAAATTTTATGATTTTTTCACCCACCAACGTGAAAATTATTCTACTTTGAAACCTGTTTTGTCTTATGATGCTTTTACAGAACGATTATGACAAACTTTAGCGATAACAAGCACCGGGTCTAAAGCCCCGTTTACACTACACTCATTTTCGGCACGGCTGACTTTTAAATAATGGCAAGCGGGCCATTTTCTTGAAAAATCAGCATCGTTTACACTACAAATTTTGGCGGACCATCAAGTTGCACTAGCACCCCTACTGTTGAATACGGCCCGCTTAAATACTGCGCCCTTAAATCAAACTTCAGCGGTTAAATTCTTAAAGTAAATTCGCGCGCATTTTAAAAAATGGAGGATGTAAAAACAGCAAACTCGGCACTTGTTTGGTATTTTTATGTGACAAAACGGAGACGTTTACGCTTGGAAAAATTTAAAGATAACCGTGTACGTAGAATAGCGCTTCACAACATAAAAAGAAAAGGTATTTAAAAAAGAATTCACCGAAACTGTACTAGCCTTTTTTCATCGCCAAAGAACTAGAACACTGTGGATGCACCCACGAACACAGATCTGGTTTGAGATGGTGGGCGACACCTACAACGACGAGCTATGGTATGCTAACTTTAGAGTTACGAAAGAAACGTTTACATTTATTCTCAGAAAGGTTGAGCCCGAAATAGCTTATGAAAATACACATCTTCGAGAAGCAGTTTCAGCGAAGCGACGGCTGGCAGTTACATTATATTATCTAGCATCCACGGCTGAATACCGCACAATTGGCAACTTATTCGGAGTTTCACGGTCGTTTGTGTGCCAGTCCATTAAAGAAGTATGTCATGCAATAGCAAAGCAGTTTCCAAATCATCAAATGCTATTAGCTTCCCTAAGGGTGATGACCTTGCGAGACATTCGAAGTTATTAAAAGACATGGAGCTTTCTTATGTGTGCTGGCGCTGTAGATGGAACTCACATACCGATACTGGCACCTAACAAAAATCACACAGATTATGTCAACCGTAAGGGGTCTCATAGTGTCCTTATGCAG